CGACTCTCCCCCCTCCCCTTCCTTCCTCGACCCGCCCTCCTCCCCTCCCCCCCCCCTTTCCCTCTTTCCTTCTCCTACCCCCACATCGTCATCCCGACCCGTCCTGATCTCACCTCCGTCTTTATCCCCCAACCTCACCCCCCAGTCTCGACATCAGAAAGGCACGAGACATTCCTTCCCTAACCCCGTCTCCCCCCCCCTCGACATCACCTCCCTCTATCACTCCCCTTCGTTACCATCCCGACATCCCCTGCTTGCCCTTCCTTCCCCCACGTTGCCCCACATCGCCCCCAGCCGCCCAAAAAAAAGAAAAAAAAACCGAAAAAAAAAAAAGAAGAAGAAGAAGATCAACTCACCTTCGTCCGCCATCTCCTTTTCTTGTAGTCTCCTCTGGCACGCTCGTCTCCCTCTTCTCGTCTCCTCCGGCGCACTCCTCTTACTGTCAACGACCGTCTGCATTTGCGAATCCCTATCTTCTCTCTCTCTCTCTCTCTCTCTCTCTCTCTCTCTCTCTCTCTCTCTCTCTCTCTCTCTCTCTCTCTCTCTCTCTCTCTCTCTCCGAACCGAACTCTCTTTCTCCCATCCAACCGAGTCGCGTCGAAACAACAAAGCGATCGATCACCGCGGGAAGCAGCACATATCGTCGAACCGGGTCGCATCGAAACAGCAAAGCGATCGAAACAGCAAATCCAAACATCATCGCGGGAAGCACCACATAAATGCAAAAGCCGAACTGGCCACAGCCGCCAGGATCGCCGACTGGGCCCGCGTTGGACGGCCCGATAGAAGTTTCGGGAATCACCTGCCGCGGATCCCAAAAACTCTATCGGGCCGTCCAACGCGGGCCCAATCGACAATCCTGACGACTCTCACCGGTTTGGATCGGCCCGAAAGACGTGCGCGGTATCTGTTGGGCCCGCCTGCCGGTCCCGTCGCGTTTCCCAACAGTGGAAAGCGGCCTCTCGCGGGAGCGTTACGCGAGGACCGCTATTCACTTAAAGAGTGTTAAGGATAAAAGGCCCAGGTTACATCAAAATTCTTTGCCTCAGGGTTGCATCGAAATTCTTGCCAATTTAAAAATAAAAAATAAAATCAGAGATTAAAATTTTCATTTTCATTTTTACTTTTTATTCGTTTTTGGGCCCGCTGGGCAAGTGGTCCTGGACCACTCCGGTAATGTAGATTAGCATAACTACTTGGTAGAACACACACTTTTCGAATAATGAATGTCAACATTCAAACCACCTGCGAAGGGTGGTAAGAACCCAAACAAGTCGTACCGGGCCATTCATTTATAATACATACTGAACACAAACAAGATAATGTGTTTAATCTTATCCTACCTGTCTGCACGTCTCCTCACATCTCAAATTTAGTAGTCAGTAGTTTTAGGCCATCAGGCCCCGCGGTGCATTCACGGCCTTGAACCGGCACCTCAGCCACAGGATCGAAGTCTCGTAACCACTACGACCCTTGGAGGTGTTATAACACCAGTTGTTATATCCAGTCCACCCGCAGGACTGTAGCGTCCTTGAACTCGCACCTCACTCACAACAGCACACCACGGACACGGCAATCAACACACACTCCACTCGAATTGCACGTGACCCACCACCACTACTTCACCCAGTCACTCCAAGGTGGGCCAACTTCCCGCAGGTTCCACGGGCGCCTTCACAGTAGGTAGGGCATCAGGAGGCCCGCCGTGCATGCACGGCCTCAAACCGGCACCCTCAGCCACAGGAATGAAGTCTCGTAACCACTACAACCCATGGAGGTGTCACGGCACTTCTCTTTTTTGCTTTGTTCGCTTTTCTTAGTATAAAACACATGATCCTTCAGCCCAAGGACAGAAATGATTGAGAGCTTTGATGAATAGGTTCGCCATCATCAGGCCCAAAGCCCCGCCTCCTCATAGAGGTCAGTGGACTTCCATTCTTCGCTTTGTCAGTAGAACAGCAGAACAGCTCCACAGTCACTTCACAACTATACGTACGTCAGTACACGAATCTCCACTGCCTCATAACTGAGAGTTAGGGATCACCGGACTTCAGCTCTTTGCTTTGTCAGCAGCACGGCACGACACCCCTGCATAGATTTCACATCTGTAAGTCACTTCAACCAAATTCCCCATCACATCGTAACTCCCAAGTTGGGAGTTAGGGGACTGGGAGTGGGATTCTTTATCGTCAGCATAGCAGGACTCCTCCGTAGTGCGTAGTAAGTTCACATTCTTACACCCAAATCTCCACTGCCCTATAGGATTCAGAGGACTTCAGATCTCTGTCAGCAACTGAGAAGGCTTCTCCACACATCACTGCATACCCAAATCTCCACCGCCTCATAACTTAGAGTTCGTAGGAGACTGGAGCAGACATCACAGCACCAGAATTCCCACTGCCTCAGGGTTAGGGGACTGGAGCTCTTCGCCAGCAGCACAGCAGGACAACTCCACACTGACAACGAGGGGCATCGCTGGGCAAGATAACCAAAAAGATGATAAACGGCAACCCATGTTCACTAGACTAGGGAGGAACAACAGAGTTCCGGTTGGTCAAAGAGAAACCTGCAGACAATCTATCGCCGTCTCTCACCGCTCAGTGGGTTACACTTAATGCTGGCACCAATAACCTATTGAATGTACGATCAAAACTTAATCCTCTTCGCTATCACTGACAACTACCCGTCTTCGCTGCACAGGGGCTCGCTTTACAGGCTCAGATGCGATGGACGAACGTCTGACAACCTCCTCTCTTCTCCTATGTTTATCTTTTCTACCCCTACCTAAGTCCTCTTCTTCCTCCTCTTCTTCCTCGTCCGCTTCTTCCTCTACCTCCCTGTCCTCTTCCATGGCCTCCGCCACCTCCTCTTCTTCCTCTAGGTCCTCTGCATCTGCCTCCGCCTCTTCCTCCTCTTCATCAGCAGCTCTGGCCATCTCTTCATCCTGCTCCTCAGCTTCCGCCTCCTCTGCCTCTTCAGCCGCCTCCTCTGCCTCCTCCTCCGCCTCCTCTTCCACCTCCAGTTCCTCCTCTGCCTCTTCCACTTCTCGAGCCTCATCTTCCTCTGCTGACTCCTCTCCTGCTTCTTGCTCCGATTCTTCTGATTCATACCCATGTCTTCCCAGTCGAGATTTCGGAAGAAGCTTCTGTTTTTTTGAAGAAGGCAACTGCATGCGTGGCGGCGGAGCCTGAGGCAATACACACACAGACACACACACGGACACACACATACACACACACACACAGATAGATAGATAGATAGATAGATAGATAGATAGATAGAGAGAGAGAGAGAGAGAGAGAGA